CCCTGTATTCCTCGGAATCCTTAATACCTGGCAGGCGTTCTGCCCGAGACCATTTGCCGTGCATATATTCCCTTCATCTATTTGCCAGAATTTGCTGCAATAATCGTTGGCGATAATAGGTAGCAGAGCATACTTTAGGGCCTTTGTACCTCTGCTGACCTGGCCGTCCTTTCCCCACCCCACTACATAGCCAGTCATGCCGTCGAAAGCATCTCTCGTCTCGTGGTAACAGGCCAGCCGTATCGGTTGAATTTTTTCTGGGAATGAGAACGTCGGTTAAGCTAGGTCTGAATTTTAGACTCTAAAGTTTCAGCGTATCGTAATCTATTACTGCGCAATATACGAAATTTACGGCAGCTAAACGTTACTGCTCCGATTGAAAATATTAAAAATAAGTTCACCCGTAACTAGATGTAAACAAAGTCGAACGAAATTGTGTTCGTGTTTGCTTGCAACTCTGAATTCGCACTGCTTACTTATTTCATGTTAGATAAGATTATATACGTACGACTATACGGTATATCCTGCGGCATGTACAACAATCCGACGTCGTTCTTGTTGTAATCATGTTTTGGATGAACAACAGCGAGTGACGTAATCATCGAGACACCAGGCCCGTTGTTAGAATCGTACCCTATGCCTGATTTATTGACGATGCCAAAAACAACAAAGAATTTACGCGGGAAACCGGAGCCTATGCAGTGGCCAGCCGTTAGAACCCATCGTTTCGAAATTACGGTGCCGCCACACTGGGAAGTCGCTCCGTTTGGTAATAATCGATGTACGACCGCCATAAAGGGGAACTGTTCGTTTACAGCATAGAAACCACCGGCTATTCTATCCGTATCGTCTACTCCACCAAGAAATTAATTATTGTCATTAATACAGGGTGTCCAAAAAATGTTGTAACACCTTGAAATGGGTGGTTCGGGAGGTGATTTGAAACAACTTTTTCCTTTGGGAAAATGTTGTCCGAAGCTTCGTTAGGGAGATATTAACGGAAAACACTGACCAATCAGAGCGCGAGTATGCCGGTTGAGCGTAGACTACGCCCTAAGCGGCCGCGCTCATACGCTACCGCGGCCGCTCCACCGGTATCCTTGCGCTCTGATTGGTCAGTGTTTTCCGTTAATATCTCCTCAACGAAGCCTCGGACAACATTTTCGCTAAGGAAAAAGTTGTTTCAAATCACCTCCCGAACCACCTCTTTCAAGGTATTACAACATTTTTGGGACACCCTGTATATACGTAGATCTTCGATGTACTAAATTATACTTACATGTAAAGGAAGGAAAGAAGAGTTTCGACACGGGGGACGACGGCTCAGAATCTTTTTTAATCTGCGTACTGTTAGATACGACTTCTTTATCGAGACCATTTTCTTTTATATGACTGTAAACACCTGGACAAAGTGTCAGAAAGCAGCAAGCGAATAGAAACGTCGGCGTACTTTTCGAATTCATCGTGGAACTGACCAAAACATGAGCATTTCCTCGGTATTTATGGCATCTCGAACATTCGTGAAAATTGCCCGCGGTGAATGTCTGTTAGTTTCCAAACTCCCTGCTACAAGTAATTGTGAGAACAAGGTTTTGAAGAAGCATGCGTGGTAATGGGTATGGCATTGTGCAATCAAAACTATTGTAATCTAGTATTTAAGGAATCCTTGGCTTCTATCTTTCGACTTTTCTTCATTTTTACCTGAATGACTATATCTGAATATATACCTGAATAACTATTAAATATTATTTAAAATAATACAAATAAAACTTTATAAGAAAATATTATAAATAGACCGCGGATCTTTATGCATTTATAGGAAATTTGAATGCACAAGAAACTACAAAATGCAAAAAAATATACAAGGACGTAAAAAAGATTCAAAGTAAAGTTCATATTATAATATTTGCAGAATAAAATAAATTCCAATTAGGTTCAATTTTGTAGGCATAAAATATATTACAATAATTTATGTAAATGATTTACAGTAAATCTATATATAATGTAAAGTAAAATACATATATATCAAGGTATTATAAGAACATTTCAGATCATAAAAATATAAATTTTTATTTACACGTCGGTATACAAGTATTTAGAACGTTACATTCTTAGTCGTATTCATATAAAAATAGCAATATCACAAATTTTCTTAAAAATGAAGTCCTGTAACTTCCTGAATCCAGTCGATATACCCAGTGACTCTAGAAAACACACCAGGCCTGCTACTAGGACAATTTGTGTCTCCGTAGCTCACGATTCCGACTTGAAGGGGAACACCGCCATCAAATGCAATTAAAGGTCCGCCGCTATCACCCTTTAAACATATGGTACGAAAAACGCAAATTAATTTTTTATTCTAGAAACAAGGAGAAGACGCCCGAGCTGAAACATATTATTTCATCATTCAGATGCATGAAATAAAATGTGTGGAAGGCCAGCGCCTAGGCTGCAAAATGCGCAGGATGGAGAAACCCGAGTCGAGTGTGAGGGCCAAATGGAACGCAATGTGCGTTGGGAAGAAGGGTCTTTGAGGGAGAAGGGACGCTTGGAAAACCGTCTGCGTGCAAGGCCGTATCGAGGGCCTCCAAGCACGATCTTTATCGAGTCACATACCACAGACGTTTGTTTTTGAACTTATAAAGTGTCAAATAATCGTGATTAGGAACATTTTTCTATATGAGCACCCTGTAGAGCAGATACGTTAATATCGAGTTGTGTAATTTGAGATGTCTGGGAGCCACAATGTATTTGTTTACCTGACAAGCGTCCTGCTTGTACCCGGCTGCCGTGCACACGTGTTTCTTCGGCGTTATGCTCCACGACATACTACATTCGGAATTCGAAATAATCGGTAGAGTCGCGAATTTCAATCTCCTCGTTCCCATGCCTTTCGATCGATCTTTTCCCCATCCGATAACAGTTCCCATTTTACCGTCGAAACTTTCTTCGATTTCGTTATTTCTCGCCAATTGGATAGGTTGAATAGCCACTGGAAAGATAACAAAATTATTTATGAAATACTTGTCCCTTGCAGACATGCGAGCATTCGAATGACCATGCGATTGAAATACGTCTAAAATACTATATGTACAGGGTGTCCCAAAAATGTTGTAACACCTTGAAAGAGGTGGTTCGGGAGGTGATTTGAAACAAGTTTTTCCTTAGCGAAAATGTTGTCCGAGGCTTCGTTGAGGAGATATTAACGGAAAACACTGACCAATCAGAGCGCGAGTATGCCGGTTGAGCGTAGACTACGCCCTAAGCGGCCGCGCTCATACGCTACCGCGGCCGCTCCACCGGTATCCTTGCGCTCTGATTGGTCAGTGTTTTCCGTTAATATCTCCTCAACGAAGC